TCGGGCAATTTTGCAGGTCAGTTATGACACCCACACCCGCCTATAAAATGATTCGGAAAAATTTGATTAAAAAAATTTTCAGCATTACGCTGCAATGAAGTGAGACACTCATCATGTTGGAAATACATCAAAAACTTTTTAATAAACCAGATACGAGTTTGACTTTAAAAGGACAGATCGTTTTTATATTTCAGCCGAAATTAAAGACATTCCATTCAATTTTTCACTATAGTTAGCACAATTGTAGAACACAAACACGAACAGAAACTAAGAAAGAGTATTCAAAATGCCTCGTCTAAAAATATCAAAGTACTATCAGTTAAAATTTATCATTGAAGTTATTTTTTTTTATTTTATCTCCTCTCTCAACAGTTTTCGTTGTTTTTATTCTGTTTAATTTATATTTTACAACAATGTTTGAATATTTTTATTTCACACTTGAAATTACTTTTGTATTCTACAGACTTTTCAACCCAAATTTCAGTACTCTAATGTATTTTTATTATTTTAATCATTATACAAAATGTGAAATGTCAATAAAAAAAACTAGTTAGAAAGTTTATGACAAAAATCATAAGTATTCCTAAATCCACAAGAAATATACGGGAATCTGTCCATTGATATCATAATTATTTTTATAGTTGAATTTAGATCGCAGTAACACTGGTGTTATCAAAATAAATTATATTACGCCTTAAAAAATATGTTTTAAATTTTGTGAATGTAAATATTTTCATTTCGATCGATCAAAAACACATTTACGATCAGATCTTGTTTTACGACATAATTTGATAAAAAAAGGATCATTAACTTATTCATCGAAGAATTACGACAGTGTGACTGAAATACACCGAATGGTTTTTAAGCTTCCTCAATGTTCCAAATATAGGTCTTTGAAGAGCCGTACCACAGGTGAATGAGTTATTTTAACATTTTTATCGCCAGATAAGCGAGTTTATTCGACATTGACCTTCATGAAATTATTACTCGTTTCGAAGTCTTTGATACAGTGAATCTTCTTTTATCACACATCTAATCTGGACAATGCTAATATAAAACGACCGATTTCTATGGGTATAAAGACTTACAATAAGTTGCCAGTAAATATTAGAAATGAGAAACACACTATCCAGATTCCGAAGCGCCATGAAAAAATATTTACAAAAATTATTTGTTTTACGACCTCACTGAGTATTTTAATATGAAACAATAGTGAATTAGTGTATGTTTTTATATATTAGTGATTGTGCATATTGATTGTAAGACTATAGGTTTCTTTTCAGGATAAGAACTACTTCAGAACTACTTGTGATTGATATGTAATATATTGATTGCGAAATGATTTCTTCCGAGATAAAAAATTAGAAACTTCCATACAATATAAGGGAAAAAAATCAAAATTATTTATATTGAAATATTTCGGTGAAATACCAATATGGAATGACGATATTCATCACTTTTTGTCGGAAAAAAATTCTAGGTTAGTGAGTAGGTTAGAGAGAATTTATTTTCCATTTCCGTTTTTCATCAATTTTTGAAAATTGATCAATGGTCATATCCAAATAACTTGAATAGATTTTTAATACCTCTTTGAATGCTTCTTAATGTATTTACCTGGATTATAGCTTTGAGAGGAAAATGAGTCGTTACCTGTCAAGACTATTTAATCTGAAGCATTTTCAGTTTATGTCATAGTCAAAGATATATCTTTTGATACAAGAAAGAATATAATATCAAAGAAAGTGGGTAAGTGTAAAAAATTTTCATTTATAAGTTCGTCAAGCTTTTAGTTTCAAAAAGAAACTCTCTCAAAGGTTTAGAAAATGGTTTCAACTGGTTTAATTTACATCTTCAAAAACATTATAAAATTATTTTCAATTGCATCCCATTTTTAAGACCTCGCAAATGCGTTTGTGTTCAAAACTATGTTCCTAGTATATTTATTTCATTGTTTTATTACTTCTAATGGCACTGCATCATTGTTAATATTTTTTCGAATTGAGGATTTGTTTCGCCCATTTCTCCAATGTTGTCATCAAAACAGCGTCCAGTCGCAAAGAGGTAAAAGCCACCCTTTTTGCTCATGGCATTTTATGGTGATAGGGGTTGTAAATTTGGTCTGACTTTTGTTATATTGCGAGTGGTAGTAAAACTAGAAATGCAAATTTGTTACCGAGAAAGTTTTTCACAGTTAAATTGTGGGGTTGGACGATTTCATTCTAAAAAGCAGGTAGATGGTAAAAATATGGCATGTGCTTTATGCAAGAAGGGTTTTTACTGGCTTACTGGAAGCGAAGAACATTAGACGGAAAGTTGTTTTGAGATGATGATTTGACAGTGAACTTTACAATCGTATTTGTCTCGAAGTACGAAATGTGTATGTTGCGCACTACTATTTTTTATCAAAAGAACATGTTTCATGCAATTTCACTGAGACTGATAAGGTTGAAAAAAATCTGGATTGATAAGTCTGTCTGTTAAATTTTATAACCCCACCTTCTGAATCAAGATAGTGTTGCATAAATATTATGTTATTTTCACTCTGTCTCCGTCAATCCTACGATTAATATCGCATTTTTATCCTGATGAGAGTGCCTATTTTAAGTGGTGAGGTGAGTTCATCCTTTTTTGTTGTTCACTTTCTCTCGCTTTCCGCAAACATTATGAACATTAGATAATTAGTGGTTTGCTCTTGAGTTGTCGCCAAATATTCAATATCGATTAGACAACAGAACTTGGGAATATAAAGATTAGATTCTACCTGATTCGGTGCAGTCAAAATTTTTTTCCATTTAGGACCTAAACTCAACTTTTCTGACTTCCATATTATACATAACATTTTTTCGACAATTTTGCATTCGGAAAAACTCTATAGACAGATCTCTAGTTCAAAGACTGGTGGTTCTTCCGGAAAAAATGAATCTTATAAAAACAGGTCCAAAATCTCCCTCACTATTCGAACAAATTGTTCATGAAACAATAAAAATAGAAAATGATATTATAATTAATGAATAAACATGATATATTTTTAATATCGAATATAGAAGGTGGAAATTTTATGTGCTCTGAATATTTTATTAATAATTTCACCTAACAATTGAAGTGTCGGAGCTTGGTTTGAACTCTTTTTCCTCTGTTATTTTTCATTTGTTTGCATTTTTCGTCATTTGTCAATATCGTTTATTTTTCTATTCATTGTTATTGTTTACATGTGGATTTTGAAAATAACAAGAATATTAATAATAAATAAATTAGGTTTCTCATATCTTTTAATGTTGTACTCATCGTTTGTGATCTTTCCCGTTTTTGTTTATTTTATATTCAACTAACTTGACTCAAGAGATCCAGAACTGACTTCCATGCAAATTTTTTCGGTTTCATTACAAATACAAACATTTGTCGGATTATAAATTGTGATATCAGTTTTTGTTGAATTTTTTATTCTTTCTTATCAGTGCATGTGGTTTCAGTGTTTACTGGACATATCTGATCATTTAGGTGCATTTTCAATTATTAAAAATGATACAAGGGACAAAATTATCCTAATCATGCTAAGCTAGATAAATGATAAAATAAGTTTCAGTCTAAAATATCACTGATGGTATTTGAAATCAATATGACAAATGAATAATCGTTCGAAAATAAGTTGATTTGACATAGAAAAACAGATTTTTTGCGTAACACTGAAAGCAAACCCTGACAAACAAGTTGATTTATTATAATGTTCAGGTTTCTTTCAAGCACACTAGCACCAGCACAAGTACCTACATACACTACATGTAAGTACCTGTTTATTAAGAACATTAAGAATCTACTCAGAATTATAGGTACTTTGTACCTGTTTAAATCCAGAAAATTACGTTCAGTTCCAGAAATATTAGAAAATACTGAAAATTCACAATTTTTATTTTAATTTTCATCTTTATGATATTTAAGAATCTAATAATGAACAATACACTTTTTCTCGTTGCCATTTTTCGATTTGTACAAGATGGCGTTAATAACTATTTAAAGTGAAAACAATTTAAATTTTTCATATGGAACTGAAAAAGAATCGCACTGATTTAGTCACCCTTTTTTCCGACAACTCGACTGATGTATACCCATACCCATTTAGTACAATCATTATTGCATTGATACAAAAACATTGTTGTCGAGGTTGTGATTTTGTATATTTTATCATCATTTTTCCTCATTTGTTTGGTATAATATTCGTACGCTACTGCAAGGAAGAGATTAAGGCAGAAACGTCATTTCTGTGAATTTAGTGCCTAGTATTTTGAAATTATAGTATAATTGAATTTTAAAACGTTATTCAATCAGACTCCAAAATGTGCAACTTTTTATTATCTTCATATTCCCGACTTTCTTAATGTAATAATAATTATCAGGAATTGTTCTAAAGGAGTAGCAAGTTGTGTTCAATTATATTTACTGTATGTTGAAACTTACTTTTGCTGAATAATTATGGAATGATTATATAAAAATGCATTTAAACTCTTAAACTTTTTGTATAAAAATATACCCCTTTGAATTTATCCAAATTCAGGTTATCTATAGAATTTTCAAATTTTTTGGGTAACTTTTCAAAAATCAAAGTTACATACAATCACATTTCAATATTATTTTTATTCTTAGTATAAAATTATTGTCTGAATTACATTGATCATTGTATTTTTTGCCGTAAAATATATGATGCTTATTCGGTCCTTTCGAAACGAAACTATTTGGCATCGGCCCCAATTAATAATAAACCTCTTTTTTATTCCCGAACCCATTAAATCTAGCCATGCACATTTCAATATATCCGCTTTTATTGCTAAATTTTATTATTCTATTCCTCAAAATAACGATTACTTTTTTAATCTGGCATAAAGCTCGTGCTCCATTCGGATAATAATATATCTCGTAAATCGCAAAGCTTTGGAAAGCTTTCCTAGTGGTGGGGGTTGGTGGGAGGGGTAACAGACAGAGTCTAGCGGGGGAGTGGACACAACTCTCCTAGATCAGTATGGTCAGGCAGAGAAATCATTCCAATTCAGTCCTGCAAACAGAGTAGTTGTGTTTACATGAATGATCTTTCAGTTGTGAACTGTTTTCGTTATCAGTGTTTTTGAATGTGGAACTTTTGTGATTGACTCCGTTCTAGTTGGAATAATCAATACATTTAGGTATGGAAAAGTTTTATTGGAATGAACTATATAGAACATTGAGACATTTGGCATTTTTTTGGAAAATATAACTTCAAGAACTTGCTTAATCTGTTAACTTCAAATAGCTTCTAGAACTCTGAAATCTCTCACTTTTGCTTTTGAAAATTTTCCGTACATGCTGAACTTCAATAATTTTATATTATGACTTTTAATAGAATAGATTATAGTATTTCTTTTCACATTATTCCTGGACAGATTCAATTCTTAAAATTCTCAAATTATTTGGAATCAAGGTATGTATTGTAAAAACAATACACTGATTTAAAAAAAGTTTGTTCCAAAAAAACAGTAGAAGATTTTTAGAGACAGCATGCTTTTCACTGTTTATCGTAGTTACTAAATACGTATTCACATTATTATTGAGTAAACATATAATTTTTATACAGCACTAGTGAGTGAGTTTTACTCAAGATTTCCCTTTTCTGTAGACATTGTTGAAAGCTCTGATAATTATTTCTTCTATACTTTCAATTCAAAGGTTTGATAGTTTTGGTTGTCTAGTTTGCCATAGTGTTAAATTTAAAAATGTTTAGCTTCACCCACCTTCTTCATGAAAAAAAATGATAAAAAATATAACAATAATCTACAAGGTGTATAATTTGAAAACAGCAATAGCGAAAAATACTGCATTGAATAAATTCGAAATAAACAAGACTACTTATTTGGTAATTGTCCCAATCTACTTTATAAATGAATATAAAAACCTTCAGATATTTTGTGAAATAATATTTAACCGCAAATGTGTGTAAAACCTAACAAATATCGAACGTTCCCCCCCAAGTTCCCTGAATCATTTAAAAAACCGAAATATTCATTTGCTTACATTTTTTCGTCGAAAACTGCAGTTTTTCATGTTATATATATTTTTAGGTGACATTTTGAGAAAAATGAGGGGTGTATCTGGCGAAATGGCGACTTCTTCTGCACAAAATGGAGTTCATCCTTCGAGAGGAGAGCAGCCTCCGATGGTTCAGCCTTCTTCTCCAGTTACGGCCTGGCAGTATCATACTATGTTACCAGTAAGTATTTCCATTTAATTAACTGGAGCTACGATTTTTGCACTGCATACTTGTTAGTTTCATTCATTTTTCGATATTTTACTATATTCATTTACTTCACTTGCAGAATCAAACACCAATGGAGCAAGATACAAGGAATGATTCCGGAGTAGCGTCTTCTCCGGAAAGCGATAGAAGTGGAGGCCCGTGTTTCTCAGCAGCGACTACAAGTAAACCAACCACGTCCATGCCCACCACGGCATACTACTCCAACCCTATGATCAGCCATGGACAATTTCCGCAGCAACAGAATATCCCACCTCACATGACGTACAATATGGATCACACCCCCTTGACACCGCCCAGTTCAGAACCGATGACATCACCAAAAGTCCCTGAAACTGAGGAAGAGACCTCGTCCCCACCAGTGCAGATGACAATAGACAATTTGAGAAGGCTTCAGTTGTCCTTGGAGAAGAACATGTTCATGCCCACAATGCTATCTCCAAAGCCAAGTGAATGTCCTGCCGAGGAAGACAAGTTCAAGAAAGAACAATACGACAATGATATGGAAGCATATGACCAAGAATTGAGAACACCCAAGATAAACTCTCATGGCAAAATGAAAACCTACAAATGCAAGCATTGTCCTTTTGTTGCTACAACCAAAATGGATTTCTGGAAACACAACAGAATACATATAAAAGACGACAAGATCCTCACATGTCCAAAATGTCCGTTCGTTACAGAGTTCAAGCATCATCTGGAGTATCACATGCGGAACCATGACGGTTCCAAGCCCTATAAGTGCTCACAATGCGACTACAGCTGCGTCAATAACTCGATGCTGAACTCTCACAAAAAATCGCATTCCAACATCTACCAATATCGTTGTGCGGACTGCAGGTACGCTACTAAGTACTGCCACTCTCTCAAACTCCACTTGCGTAAACACAAACACAGACCAGCAATGGTTTTGAATGCAGACGGTACTCCAAATCCTTTGCCAGTTATTGATGTGTATGGTACCAGACGAGGACCTAAGTTGAAACCGCAAAGTCAGAAACCTACTGAAGCTAGTACTTCGAATCCTGAGCCAATAATACCCTTCCCTTTCAACCCATTGATGCTGAATGCAACTCCTCCAGTTCAGAGCCCGTTTCCTCCTCTTTTTCCATATTTTGCTGGTCTTCAGGATCCGAGAGTGTTGGAAAACTTGAGGAGACTGGTACATGAGAGTCAAGAAGCAGCTTCGAGTTCTCAAGCCACAGCCCAGGCCGCACCCCAAGCTTACCAAGCAACCCAAAATGGAGTATTGGATCTGAGTATGTCTGACAGCTCTTACAACGATCAGCGTAACGGATCTCCCATCAAGGTCGAGCCACCCTCAAATAATGAATCTTCGGGGGATGAAGAAGAAAATGATGAATATTCCACCACTATGTTCGATAATGTGGAAGTAGTTCAAGACAATAATCCTGAAGATCATAGTAATACAGAGGCAACAAATAATGGTATCCAAAACAGTTGTAAGTTTTGTGATCTCATCTTTGGAGATCCAATAATGTACACCATCCATATGGGTTACCATGGCTTCAATAACCCATTTACGTGCAATATGTGTGGCGAAGAATGCGGAGATAGGCTTGTTTTCCATGTACATATTGCACGGCAATCCCATATGTAGTTGCCAACATTTATTGAGACTGTAACACTCAAAGACGGTTCTGCTATCTAGTCATTTTTTTTCTTTTATTCCAGTTGAGTGCGTTTGCATTTGTGCAATTAATTTTCTAATGCAAGTACGGAGTTAGTACGGGCCATAATTATTATATAAGAAAATTTGCCATGTATATTATTTGTATGTAAATTTTTAATTTATTTGTAAATCATGTATCACAGCTAAAAGTCCAAATGTCATAAACGAGCCGTCGTTTTTAAATTTTGTCATTTTGTGAAGTGTCTGTTTATGAAAATTATTTATTTTGATAGAATGTTGGGGCCACCTCCTTAAGACTGATTTGTAAATATATTTTTTGTAATGGTATCAGCTACCTAGAGCAACCAATCAAACGTGTGCAGGTATTATATAGTGTATTTGTATTATAGATGATTACTCCTAAACCAAATTATGGAAATATGAAAATAAATACATTTTGAATTATTGATATTTTCTGACTTTGTTTTTCCTTACTCCTAGCTAATTTGAAATAGATGAACAATTGACAATGAATTATCTAATTCAATTCCATTTGAATATATAGGGTATATTTATTTTGGATCGAAAATTGAATTTATCATAAATGTTTCCTGATATCTCAGTAATGTTCAATTCAGTTGAATCATAAGTAAAATTGGAATTACGAGTTGGTGTAATAAGTACACCCAGGTTCACATCAATAAGCCGTAATCAATTTGGAAATATTTAGTAGAAAGAAGTTGAGCAAAACTTAATCCTGCAGGTAAATAATGACTTTTTGTTATTTTCTCTCAATATTCATTTTCATTCATTTTTCCTGAAAGGTTGAAGGTTAATCATTTTTTTTTGAAAATACTGACAGATTTGAAACCTAGTACAGCAATGAATGAAATAGAAAAATAAAAATTGTGAAAATGTTTTAAAAAAATGTGGAAATAATAAATAAAATGAAATATGTAGCTAATATGTATTGTGTCCAGAAATGGAAACAAAGTATGGGTTGGTGGAAATTGTAAAAATTAAAATAATATGAGAGAAACTTTCAAAGGGAGAGTTGGAGTAGAAATGATATTCAGAAAATATAGGAGTAATAGATTACAGTAAAAATAAAACTTATATGGTAAACAAGGTATTAGTAGTATGCGTTAGAAGATATTGAGAAAGGTAAAGTGATAGATCAGGCCAAAAATTTTCATATGGTCAAAAAACTTGAATTGAAGACAACATGAAAAAACTGAATTCAAGGATGGGAAAGTGTTGTTCTGAAATTAAAACCAATTAAATATAATCTAAGAATATGTTAGAGGATGTTATTACCTAATTCGATGACATGAAAATGAGAAGAATGAGAGGAATACTCGAACATCGAGACGTATTTTTTTAAAATTGCTATTTGATACATGGTGTACTATTTGAAGGTTAATGATGATTTCTCTTCAAAATTCACTGAGCGAAATTCCATCCAAAACAACTACTTTCAAACTTATATAAACATAAAATTACACGAAAATCACTTTTTTCGATTCAAACATTCGTAGTAAAATTATTACAAATATCATTCAAGTTCCAGGAGAAGACATTCGTCTTCAACTTCTCAGCAGCACTTTTTTGATAAATGATATAATGCTAACTGAATAAAAGCAAAGCTTCGAATGAAGTTTTTCTCCAGTTTGTATCTGAAAAAAATCGTGTGATAGAAGTGATATCACAGAAGTGATAACTCAAATTAATCTAAGTTGATCTCATTTCGTTTTATTATAGTTTTGTTTCTATTATTTATGACTGCAAAAAGTAAATACTCTCGAGTTAAAAGTAAGATGAGTCCGGATAGAGTCATCAGAAACAGGAGTCAATTTGTTTCGGTGAATCATACATCTAAAAATAGTCATTATAAATGTATTTCAAATACACAAGTTTCGACCATTGGATTACCTCAAGGATCAATGTTGGGACCGCTATTATTTATATTGTATTGTAATGATGTTGGGGCCGCGGTTGCTGAGAATACGTGCGTTATGTATGCTGGTGTCGCATCACTTCTAATTTCGGACAAAGACGACACAATTTTGAAAGAAAGTTGTAACACGGTGTCAAATCATTTGATTTCATGGAGTGCCGCCAACTATTTTAATTATCGAAAAACTTTATTAGTACGGTTTCATTACAGGCAAAAAATCTGTTCAAATCTAGAAATTGAAATTAATGAGAATGAAAACACACTTTCTCTATCCGATGAATGTAAATTTTTGGGACTCACGCTAGATAATTGTCTGAACTGGAAGAGTCATTGTAATAAACCGATATCGAAACTTAGTTCTGTTTCGTATCTGATACGAAATCTTAAGCCAATATTAACCACTGAACAGTTAGTAAATTATTACTATGCACATATAAAATCTAGAATCAGATATGACATTTGTCTTTGGGGAAGCTCTTCATTGTCTCCAAATGTATTTATTGCCCAAAAAAAATTATACGGATTTTAGCAGGCGTTAATCAGAGAACCTCCTGCAGAGATTGGGGCTAAAACTTTATAACAAACTGCCCGACTCATTGAAAACTACCGATAGAATTCAGGTTTCCAAACCATCCTTAAAAGGTTTTTATTAGAACATAATTTTTATACCATTAATGAATTTCTCAATCCTCCGTAATTTTATTTATCTATCACATTAATTTAATGGAGCTGTAGTTGAATGAAGTTGATATGTTTTGTATGCATATGACAATCTTTCATGTATGTTTGGTTTAATTTTACTCTGAGTATTATTTTATGTATATGTACACATGCTATTTGACCTATCCTATAACTTTGTAAGTTCTAAAGGATGAATAAAGTGATTTGATTTGATTTTTATCACATCATTAAAAAAGTCTAAAGACTGCTTTTAAGACTGATTTAGTTCAATCAAATAGTATCACACAGTAATTATCATTATTTCAGCTCAATATTAAGACAAAGATAGGCATGGGATAGAACTCCAGTAATATCCAATTTTCATATATTTCTCATGAATTCAAAATATTTCAGATTCTGTAATGTTCCGAGGATCATCTTCTGCTTGTTTCAATGAATTATTCATAATCACTTTCATAGGCGGTGATAGTTTTAGGTTATATGCTCATTGTCAACAGTATATATCTATCGCACACTAAACACTGAGTCATGCGAAGATAGGAAAGAGAAGCGTCTGTCCGATATAAGACTAGCGCTGAGAGTTAGAGTGATTGAAAAAGAGCCTGCCTGCCGCTGTCGTATGTGTGAGAGAAAGGGAAGCCAGACAGACTGGCGCTGTAACGCGTTACGTAACGTAGCGGTTTACCCTTCCATGATAAGTTATCGCTTCAGAAACTTATATGCAAAATTCTCCCTATGCGATGCAAGAAATGTAATAACTTTATACACATTAAAGTATTCGCAACGCAGATTAAAGACAAATAGTGGGAAATTATGAAACATCCTCAATTAGTCATGTGTCTCAATCTTATTACTGGAATGTCACTGATTTTCACAAATACTTTTCTAATAATTATTGTCCATTTGCAGATCCGATGCGAGTATTTTCTTTAAGTCATCTACAACCTTATGAAAAACAGTCCAGTTTTTAAAATTAGATTCAGGCAAGACTGTCGTATTTCCCAGATCCTAGTTATGTCGCCATAATCATGGCACTCTTCTTTTTTACATAAAACATAAACAAACAAGCTATTTCGATTGCCAACTATTTTTAATTTTAACGTTTATGATGTTGCGTAAAATAATCTTCAGATCTCGTTTAACAATAGCTGGGAGCATAGAGAGTCATTTTTTCTCTCACCTTACAGGTGTAAGAAGAGGGACCGTAAGTGTTGTAATGATAGAATGAAGGACCTAACCTAACAAATATTTTAATGATGTTTTCAGATATTCTCAGGAAAAAAAGGGACTATAAATCTGGCGACCGTAGAGGTCAATCCTACCTCTTCTTCCAATCAATTACCTTGGAGAATGTTAATGTGAATCATCAGTATGATGGAGGCTAATTGATGTTTCAACTGGATGGGTATNGCAAATTTTCTATTTGGACGAAACTTGGTATGACACTCACGACACAGTTACGAAAGGGTGGACTGATGGTTCGAGACTGTATACGCCTAACATGCCTGCAAACAAAATTCAATAAGAAGGTAATAGAGCTAATAAAAGAAGAAGATCTGATATTACCGAAGAACACTGGCAGAAAAGGATAAAAAAAGTAATTTTTGTTGAAAACGACTTTATGGAGTTTGGACACTTCCATATTAATGGTGAAAATCAATTCATTATTGATTTAAATGACGACAGTGATAGTGAAACAGAGACACACATAGAAAAACCTTTGTAAAATGACCGCCCGAGAAGAGAACTGAAGAAATACTACTTCAGCATAAGGATCAGCTGTAAACAATCACAGCTGAGAATATTTCAGGAAATAATCTTGACGAATACCACTCGACCTGAAAATTTACTCAGATGAATCAATGCATACAGCTGATTAACGGAAAAACAGATTTTAAAACAGATTTTTAAAATAGATACATAGTATAAAACAAAGTCGCTTCCCGCTGTCTGTCTCTATATATATGCTTAGATCTTTAAAACTACGCAACGAATTTTGATGCGGATTTTTCAATAGATAGAGTAATTGATGAGAAAGGTTTATATGTATATAACATGCATGATACAGTAGAGAAATACTGATAATTTTAGAGGTTTCTTATGTGATGTGAATAAACACAGCTTCCTCCGCTTATATTGCAAACGCTGGCTGAATCCTACGAGATAGATCAATATGATGTACTACATTATTATACTCCTTATCCAATTAAGTACCATACATACATTGTGCATTCAATATAGATCAACATGGCCCTTCACAGCATGTAATTTAAATGAATATTTTTGAAGATATTACAGATTTAAAATGCAGGGAAGTAGCGGTTGCGGCAGTACCGGCCGGAGGACCAGCGGCGCTTGCCTATAAATAGCGCGTTGAAGGCTGCGCTTTGCCCTATAACACTTTGTGATTAGCAGCGATCGTACGCGTTTATATTTATATTTAGTATCAGCATTGCACCCGTGTGGAGCTGGGGCGGTTCGCTAGTAGTTAATAATAATGAATTCTCTCGTCTTGCGGATTCGCTCGTGATTTTAATATGCTGGTTGCTCTCATGGTGTTTCTAAATAACAAAGTTTTTGTTAAAAAATGAAAATGTATAGAAAAAATTTTGAAGTCTTGTAGTATGTACTAGTGTTGTTAAAGCACTTCTTCCGANATAGTTGGCAAAAATAAACAGAATTTGAATACTTGTCAAACATAAAAACCACGTCTTATCATTCAAAGTATTTCTATTTGAAAAACTATTAAAAGCAAAGGCAATTTCAAAACCAAAACTAACCAGAGTCAGACACAAGTGCTTTTTATAGACTTGAAACTACATCGTTATGTACC